TGCTGACATTGCTACAGGCAACTTTGAGACCTACACGGACTGTGAGGGGACCCTGGGGTGCGTCTGGGATCGGCTTGGGTCGATAGGTTCGTGTAATCCCAGGGCCCATATGTGGTCTCGTGTCTGGCATGTCTTTGAAGATGGAATTGTGGCCCACAAAACGTTGGGGCACGCCACGATGAATGATATCCTTGAGGGCCGATCCACTGTCTTCGAGAGGCAAGGGAATCGGCATGCAGACAGGTTTGCTAAGCTAGGTGCGTCCAAACACCCTGATGTCTCGCAGGCCAAGGAGCAAGTAGGTGCCCTTCAGAGCCTCCAGGAGGAAATAATACGGTGGGGAGGGGTCCAGGACGTCCTCATGAGCCAGCGTTCGTGGTCGGACTCGTCTGGTTTTCCTGAGCCCCCTGATGAGCAGGACGGCCTGGCCCCTGAACCATCCTGGCACGCGAAGGCCAAGAGGCAGCGTGCCCTTGAGCGCAGGTCGCTGCAGGCGGCTGATCGTCTCGGTGCTAGAAGGACCCTGCTGAGTTTTAAAACTCCCCTGTTTTCGGACACGAAGGCTAGTGATTCCAGTGCCAAAGCTGTATCTGAGAGCCAAGCTATCGTGCTCTTGCAAGGTCACAACCTTAGAATGTATAAGGTCTGGGACGGGGCGGTGGCTCGGGTGGCGGGGAGTGGGTGGGTGATGAGCTGCATCAGGTGTGGTGGCTACGCTTGGGGCGGGGTTGACACGTTGTGCAAACCTTGTCCCACGCAGCCCCCCACTAAAGATTTGAAGCAACAGAGGAACCGTCCATTTAAAGGCCTCTTCCCCAGCTGGGCCAAGCAGTACAGAGGTTGGCGGGTCAGCGACCAGAGGGCGCCGCTGCCATCTGACCTCCTCGCGCTGGTTCGAGCCACGAGGAGGGGAGTCCAGGTTCTGGAGGATTGTGAGGCTGAGGACGGTGAAGTTTTTGATTCCACGTGGGGTGAAGCTTGGACGATTCCCGAGCTCTACTCCAAGTTCGGCTTGCTGCCGCCTGCTGGTCAGGAGCCCCCCCCCAGAGGGGAGAGGATTCGGACTAGCTCTGTTTTTGTTGTTAGGGGCGTCTGGCATTGACAGACACTCCCAACGAGAATATAATAGAATAGGAGGAGGAGGAGGAGGAGGAGGAGGAGGAGGA